CCTAAACTGCTGCTTAGCACGTTTCAGTAATTCACTATCCATATTAAAGCATACATTTAGGGGGCTTTTCCGTCCCAACCATGTACATGTATGACATTGGTATTGGTGTGACTTTTGAATTGATTTTTTCGCTCTATTTTAAACTAATTTGGAATTGTTTATACCTTAGAAGTATAGTTTAGCCGTAAAAGGGGTGTAAGGGAAACATGATTGCCTATTTATATAATTGATTTACCCATAGTTTCGCGAAAATATTCAAATTTTTGTGTGTAAAATTTACTGTCGCACGGTGTTATAAAATTTAACATAAGTACAAAGAAAAAACATAAAATGTTCCACTGTGTGTAAATATTTTTTGCTTTGGCTGTATTTTCAAATGCACGGGTACAACAAAACTTATAATAAAACAATTAAGTGTGCAATATTGCTTAATTTGTTATGTGGGGAGATAGGTAATTACTTGCAAGTGGTAAAGCAGATTATAAAGGGCAAATTAAAGCTTATTAAAAATTTTGTTTTGGACTTGCAATGCTATATATACAGTATCAACAACACTTTAAGCCGACTCGGATCAAGTCATGTATTTGCTATTAACACATAAAAATACATTTCATTGGTGCCATCTGCTTTCGTTTGCACTAAAATTTTTATTTTTACCTGTTTTTAGGGGAATTCTTCATCAAAATCAACAAAACTATAAATCTGCAGTGGAGTCTTTTCGGAAAGCGATACATTTTCGACCAAATTTAGCAGGTAAGTATTTATTATTTACTTTTATGGTTCCTTGCGTATCGAGTTGTGAAAATTTTACATATCACAATTCACATGCGTGGGACCCGATGCCTATATTAATTTTTGTTAACACACCATGGCTCTTTTTTAGAAATATATGTTTGGAACATTTTTTAGCAATCTCTAGATATTTAGAAACAAAGTTTCTTCAAAAAATTTTTAAGCACAACTGTGCCCAGTTCTTCTACAATTTTATTTGAAGTAGAAACCACTTGTTCATTCGTGGCTGTCGGGGCGGAGTATTAAATATCTGCTTTGAAAGTTGCTAAAGCAGCAAATGGCATATAAAAACATTTTCTGTTCAAAGTCATTATTTTCTGTGGCATCGTCTCCAAATGACTCATCACAAAACACAGTACGCCCTATACGCCAGTGTTGCCAGTGACTGGGTTAATAAAATCCCATCCAAATATAACCTAAATCCCGTTTTAAACTAAAGTTATAACAGAAATCCCGCGCTGTATATATCCATTATACATAAAATGCTTTCGGATGAAAGTATTTACATTAGGGTGGTCCGAAAATGCATGCGGGAAAAAGTATAGTCGGAATTTTAATGCTCTCACCCCCTAGGATTGTTCTATACC